AGCCCTCCTTGGGCTGCTGACCTACATCGACTGTCCTGGGGCTTGCCTTGTCATTCTCTTAGTGGTCTGCTTTGCAGACCTGAAGTTCTTAATTTTCATTTGGGTTCAATTTACATAAAAAATGTCCAAATGCCTAGGAATGAATCTAACAATAAATTGTGTGTGTGTCCTGTTAAGAAATCATTCTTTCCACAAGCACATGAAGATACATTCTAATATTATCTTCTAAAAACATTATTGTTTTGCTTTCACAATTAAGTCTATTGTCTATTGTTCACTTGGTATTGATTTTTGTTTAGGTTTAAGGCAGGAATCAACTTTAATATTTTTCCCTATAGGTTCCCAAATGTTCCAGAACAATTTATTGAAAGTTTCCTTCCTTCATTCATAACTTTGAAGTACCACATTTGTCAGAAATGTGATCTCCATATGATTTTTATTCAAACTGATTAAACTTTGAGAGTAAAAGAGGACATTGCTAATAATTAAAATAGAACAAAAGACATAAACGGGCTGTTTTGAACAAACTGGAAGGATGGGCACTCATCATAAAGCAGGGCTCGTTTTCTGGGCTCTCTGTTCCAATTCTAACCGTCTTTGTACCAGAGCCCACCGTGTCTTATTTCTGCAACTTTATAATATGTGGTTTTTCTATTGAGTATGTCCTTTCATCTGGTTCTTCAAGATTGTTTTAGATATTCTTGGCCTTTTGCCTTGTCATATGAATATCAGAACCACTTGCTTTATTTCACCAAAAACAAGACAAAAAGTCTGTTTTTTTCTTAATTAAAATTTCATTGATTATGTGGATCAGTTGACATATATAAAATAATGAACCACCATGTTATAGCTCTCCATTTATTTAGAGCTTCTTTATTTTTTTTCTCATGTATAAAAGTTCTCAACATCTCTTGTTGGATTTATTCCTAGGCATTTAAACATTTTTTTACGTTATTACAAATGCTTTTTAAAACTTAAAAAAAAACCTTTATATCACATAGATACAAATTAACTGTGTAAATTGCACTCGTAATCAGTAACATCGTAACTCACTTTTAAATTCTACTAATTTAGACTTCAGATGAAAATAATTACCTGAAATATTATAAGGTTTGCTCTTACTTTCACATTATTATCTATTTTATTTTTCTTGAATTACTGTATCAGCAAGGGTTTTCATTAATTTTGATCAACAAATGGCAACATGTTTGTTATCTTGTCAAATTGCCAACCAAATTCTTCTTTAATTTTTAAAAAATTTTTGTTGTTTCATTTTGAGGGCTTATTATTTGGTGCATACAAATTTAGAATTGTTATATTTTCCTAGTGATCTGAATCTTTTTGTCATTATGAGGTGTCTGTCTTTATCACTAGAATAGGAAAACCTACTTTGCCTAATATAGCTACATCTACTCTTATGGTTAGTATTTCCTTCATGTATTTTTTCCTTTTGTTTTCTCTCAAATTTCATATTTATGTTATATTTTCTATAAGACAACATATTGTATTTTTAAATCTAGTCTAACCATTTTTGTCTTTTAACTGGAATATTTAGCTTACAGTTTAAATTAATACTTAAATATTTAGAGTTTAATATGATGTCTTGTTATTTGTCATTTCTGTTTTATCTATCTTTTTCTTTCCCCATTTTGGATTGATTACATATTTTTTGTTTTTTCTTTTTTCTCTCTGGTTTATTTGGGAAGTTATAAACCCTTTCACTATTCTTGTTTTGGTTACCTTACTACAAAATACATTCTTGACTTACCAGAATCTAATATAATTGTACAGATATATGACACATACCTTCTAGATATGTTTCAAGAAACGCATCGTTAAGTGAGTTTTTTATAGTGCAAGCACTGTAGAGTGAACTTACATAAATAGAAATAGCAAGTCTGTCATAGACCTAGGTTATATGGTGTGGTCTACTGTTTCTAGGCTAAGACTCTACACAGCATGTTACTATAAAAAAACAACAAGACATTAGCCCAAGCACAAGAGAAAATGATGCAATCAAGAGAAGGCAAACACAAGACACATGAAGCTGCTGCCCTTGTAACATTCCATACTGTTTTATAGCACACTGATTTTTTATAAGTTGAAAAATTACCCTGTAAAATAATGATTAAAACTTATAGTAACTACATAAATCAGTGACAGTCATTTATTATCATTTTTTAGTGTTATGTACTCTACATAATTGTATATGCTATACTTTTATACAACTGGCAGCACCGTAGGTTTGTTTATACCAGCATCACCACAAATGTCAGTAATATTTTGCTTTACAACATCATGATGGCTACAATATCACCAGACAATAGGAATTTTTCAGCTCCATTATGATGTATGGGACCACCAAGATAGATGCAGCCTGTTGTTGACCAAAATGTTGTTATGCAGCACTTGACTATAATTGTACTTTTATTTTCTTCCCAGAAAATGCAAGGACTTTAGAAATTTTACCTTAATTTTCTTGCCCAACTTCTATGCTGTCATGTATTTTAATTTTGTATATATTTGAAATTCTGCAGACATTATTACCATTGTTTTATATGGTCAGTATTTATATAAATTAATCATACTTATAATTTTTCTTGCTCTTTGTTCTTTCCTTACAGTTCTGATGTTTCTTTTACATAAAGAATATTTTCTAGAATTTTTTTTGAAGTTTGATGATAATGAACTCCCTCAGTTTTTGTCTGGAAATATCTTGAGGAATATTTTTCCTGAATATAGAATAATTCTGGGTTGGCAGGGTTTTGGTTGGTGTTTTTCTCAGCATGTTAAAGGAATCAGTCTGTGATCTCTTGTTCTCATAATTTCTGTTGATTTATGTGTTGTCCTTCTAACTGCTGCTCCTCCTGAGGGCACTTTGCCTTTTTTCTTTTATTGTTTTTATCCTATCATTTCTTACAGTCTTTGGACTTCTGCAGTTTCACTAGAATGTGACTAGAGATGGATTTCTTTATAGTATTCTGCTTGGGGGTTTAATAGGATTTTTAAAATCTGTGAATTGATATTTACATTAGTTTTAGAATATACATTTCAAATGTTAGATCTTTAAATATTATTCTCCTTCATATTGTCTCCTGTCTTCTCTTGTCCCTGTTAAGCTTCTTCTTACTGACTGCTTCCAGTCTCTTATTCTCCCTTTTATATTTTTCCACCCTTTTCTCTTTCTGGGCTTACTTTTTATAATTGTCTTTATAAATTATAGACAATTTCTGGGCTTACTTTTTATAATTGTCTTATAAATTATAGATAATTTCTTCTGGCCTGACAACTCACTTTTTTCTATCTCTACTTTGTTAATAAATCTTATCTATTTAGTTCTTCGTGTATTGTTGTATTTGTGAGTTGTAGGACTTCTAATTCATTTTTATTCAAATATGCAGTGTCTCTTTTAAATTTCTAGTTATCTGCTGAAATGTTCAATCTTGTCTTTTATCGTGATCCTGATATTTGGAGTGCTGTACTTACGTTTGCATTATCTGTGTTTTTTTCTTTTTCTATTTTCTTTTCTATTTTTGTGTTCTTTTTTTCTTTTGTGCTTGTTTTAATCATTTTGTCATGGCTCCTCACCGATCCAATGATCTTTGATTGTGTGCTGGATATTGTATTTTAAAAAGCTGATAATAAAAATAATTTGAGGTTTAGGGGTAATTTGTCCCCAGAGATGATTTTTTTTGCTACTACCGTGTGCCTCTGGGTAGTAGCAAACCAGAATAAATGTAATCCAATATGAGGAATTGGAATTTTGGGGGACTGCCCAATGACTTACATTAGGGCTGCATTCTGCAGTGTTTCACTCAACTCATGGGGTATAGCGTTAAGGGTGCCAAATAAAAGCACAGGAGTTATAATAGGGCCCCTACTCTTAACAGGTCCAGGTCCAGACTCTGACCTTGAACATCATCAAAATCCCTGCTTCACTTCTCACTTCTTTTGGATTAGAAAATGCCCCTGGAGCAAAGGTGACCCCAATTTACATATTCCCCAATCGATCCTTGGGTTGCTTAGCAATTCTTCCTGATCTTGTCAGCTCTCCCTTGCCTTTGGGCTGGTGCTTGTCTGTTTTGGTTTTTTAGTTGTTAAGAGGTCTGAGTTACCTAGTTCACCATTACAAGAATTAGATATTTTCTACATAAAATAAAAATTGGATTCTAGTTTTTGCTCTGGAATTTACTAGTTGTTTTAACTGTCAACAATTTATTTATAGTCCATGGACCTGTTCCCTCTTGTATAAAAAGGATTTAAGCAGAGTTGCTTGGGGTGCTGAAATTCAGTTTCTACTTGATTAGCACAATTTACTCTAAATCACAAAGTAGATTTTAGCATAAGCAGCCCAAAGAGAATAATTACAGAATGCAGTAACTATTGTTTTACTTGTTTTCCATAGCCAAGAGATTCTGCAATATAATAGGTGCTAGTAAGTATTTTAAGGAAAAAAAAAGAAGGCAGAGAAGATTTGCTAAAATCTTTTCAATGGAGTCACCATCATTATGGATGTCAGTATTGTCAGTCCAAAGATGCCATTTTATAGTCCTGTCTTTTCTGAGATTGGGTAGAAACAAGAAGAGGACTGAGATCTGTCTGGCTAAGAGGAATCTTAGGAAACATTATTGGCCAGTCCACCAGCTTTGTAGGAGCAAGAAAATGAAGTGCTTTGAGCCCCCTTCCAAGGGGTACATTTGAGAAAGGTTTATATTAATCAAAGAAGCTTCTGTCCTCTCTCTAAGAATGCATTAAGCCATCCCATTGCTCTAAAAATCTGTACTGGAAGATGGAAGTCAAAAACCTTTATCAGAAAACACAAGAAGCCAGTAACAGTGAGATCTTTGCAACCCTTCTTTTCCTAACAGTCTCTCCTACTACATTTTTCTTTTTGCAGTTTCTTGGCATCTTTTACCATATGACACCTGCTTCTCGACTCCTTGTGATCCCAAACAAATTATATCAGGTATGATAAAGGACAATAAAAAGGGAAGGCCAAATTATCACCAGGTGGATCTTTAATAGTTTAAAAGCTGGAGGGCTGTAATAAAATACTAATCCTATAGAATGAAGGGTCATAAACATTGACCAAGGCAAATTTGTCTTCATAACCCAACCCTTAATTGGGCTATTCTCCTATATTTCAATTGAATATCTGTTTTTAAGCCTCCCTTTGACAATCAGAGTGTCTCTCTTACGACTTTGAGAAGTCTATCTGTGAAATACATTACAGTATTATAATTTTTCCCATGGCTATCAAGAAAGTATAGCAACTTCATAGATTACTATACTGTCAAGATTCTGCACATCTGATTGATGCATCAAAAGCAATCACAGAAAATTTTCAATATTAAAAAAGGGAAATAGAAACCCATACCAAAGTTAATGGGTGTACACAGCCAACAGAGCTGAATTACAGAATGCAGTGACATCACAGAGCTGACCTTATAAAGGAAATTAAAGATCTGTTTTGGGATGGTAGTTTTATTGCTAAAGATACATGGAAACTATTACCATTGAAAGTGCAGGTAATAAAGCTCTGAGCTTAGCCTTGTATCTCCAGTCTCTAAGGGGAAGAAAATCTGCCTAAGAACAGGATGTTAGTTGAGGGATTGTGTCGAATGAAGAAAATGAATGGATGGTCAGCCACAAAATTCTCCTCTATCGGAAGCATGCAGAAGGCAACGATGCCTGCTGTGGCGGCTGCTGCCTCTGTGCCCTCTTCATTCACTTCCACAAAAGACTTGTGGATAATTTTTGATACAGAAAGATCCCTGGTTCCTGACATGCCAGACAGATCAGCCTTGCTATTAAAGAGATCCTCTACACCCAGGCGGGCTAGGTGTGAGTTGAGGTTGTAGCTCTCTTCCAGCTTGAACTTTGGCAAGTGAACATTGACTTCAGTGGGATACAGATTCTCAGGTTTGGTCCATTCACGCAGTTTTTCCAAAGTCAGTTGTTCCTCAACCTGGAATGACAATGGGCAAACAGAACAGGTGAGAACAATTTCATATAAGTAAGGTAATAAAGCATTATTTAAATGAATGGACTCATAATATTAGTCACTTCCTTCTTTTAGTTTCCTTCCTATTTTGTGCCAAAACAGATTCCATTTGGAGGATTTCATTTCTTTTTAGCAATTGGTGATAACAGAAGAGGGTTGTGTTCCAAGCCATCAAGGGCCCAAGTAACAGGGACTTTGGCTCCATCAGCTCCATCCACCCACCCACTCATCCATCCATCCAGGTTTTCCTAAACTCCTACCACACTGGATTACTATGATAGGCCACAATACCTGTTATTACTTTAACTGGTTGATTGGTACAAGAAAAAAAAATTATAGTTTTATTCTATTTATTCTATTCTATTTATTCTGTGGTATCTGTGAACCTCACAATGCTACAGTATCTCTAATAGACTTAGCTTCTAGTAAAATAAAAAAGGACCTAGTTCCTCCTCTAAAATGGGGAGTAATAATAGTCCCTACCTTATAGCATTGTTGTAAACATTAAATGAACCGATGTATACAAAATGCTTGGCACATAGTAAGTGCTACATAAATGTCAGCTATTAATATTACTATTATTACTACTACTATTGGACTAGAATGGAACCATCATTCCACTTGTTCTAGTGATGCTGATTATCCCTTTTATGAGGCTAGAGAATTTTTTTTTAATAATCAGAGAAGAGACAAATGTGGAAATACAATAAAAATAAGGAATGTCTTGATTTTAATACATACTTTATACATGTAAATGGTGAATATTAAACCCCTTCCTGATAACAAGTTTTGTTAGGGAGAGGGTAGAGAAAAACCACACAGCAGATTAGAGACACCAAAAAAAAAAACCCATTTTCTTCACAGTTTTACCTAGTCCTAGCCTGGCAAGAAAAGTCATCTTTAAATTATATATAATAAACGTCATCCAAAGTTCACATTAGAAAACAGGCTTAGCTTGCAAGCTAATGCATCACATGAGTCTCTTCTACCATGTAGCTCTTAGAAATTTAATTCACAATCTGTATGAATTGTGATGAGAATGAGCAGTATAATAATAGAATTTCATAGTACAAGATAATACTATATACTAGAAATGTTTTGGGTTTTTTTAATTTTAAAAAATTTGTTTCAATAAAACAATTCTAATTTTACTGCACTTTCCTCTAAACTTCATTTAAGGGAGTTTCCATGAGCTGCCACTAACTAATATTAAATATAATATATATCTTTAGATGTCCCCAACCAGACCGTTCACTGACAACAGCTGAAAAGTTAAACTTAGGGCTTCAGAGTAGCAAACATTGATGGGCTAATTCACAAAGGAATGCAAAGAATTGGAAAGGAAACTCCAGCAATATCAGTAAACTTATAAGAACTTATCACATAACATACACGGAATCGATATATCAGAAGGAAACATGAAGCATTAGTGCAGGAGTCATTACCTTCTTCAGACCTGTGGACTCGTCCTCGATGTCATCTGGCAGCAGGATAAGCATGCTGAGCTCCTTGCCTTGGTAAGGCACTTCTAACACACGACACTTAAGGTCCTCGATGTAGCCATATGGAAATTTCTCCTTCTGGTACATCATTTTCACTGTTTTTGTGTCTTTCTGAACAGTTAAAAAAACAAGTCACTCACATTATTATCTGCATTCTTTTAGAGCAAAGAGTAATTTTATAATTCTATCAGCTCACCCTATTCAATCTGAAAGGTGCATCAGTTGTGGCGTTTTCACTGAATTTCTTCTGCCAGCTTCCTTTGAAATAGATGGCATTAACTAGCACAAGTTTAGTCATATTATCAACCACGCCTGCAGCCAACAATTCTGGAATTTTCCCTAAAAAGATAAAGTATTTTAAAAAATTCACATATCAGAATTCCAAATTTGAACTGACATTTGATCAGCACTAAAATTCAACTCAAATGCATAGTTTTTACCTAATTTCCTTTAACATGTTAAGTTAGGAAAGCTCCACTGGCATGCTTCAACTTTAAATAAACCAACTAAAGGGTTTTAAGGGCTAAAAACAGGAAAATTCTTTTCTGGAGTGTATGAGAAACAATGAGTCTTATTATGTGAATGGTTATTCTTTTTCAGGCATAAAAACATATTCCTTAATGCAAATTATTTTAGTTACTAGTAAATAAATCACTTCTACAAATCCTCCAAGTGGAAGCTACTCTCACAAAAAAGGATTTTAACAAATATCCAAAGGGTAGTACAGTTACTCCACCAAACACAATTTCCCCCATGATCACAGCATCGCCGTGAAGAATTCCTTGTATGGGTGACAGGTGTTCAGTCAGTGCCTTGACTCATTCCGCCACTAGATTAGAGAGAGTTATAACAGAGAAACAGCTGAGACAGAGCCAGTCCCACCTACACCCCTGAGTGCTCAGGCAAGACGTTGGCAAAAGTGTTCACCGCCACAGCAGTTTGTGTCTCAAGTATCAGGATATTCTTTTCCATAATTTGACCAGGCTGGATTTTTCTCAAAACTTTATCCTTTCTATTCTATATTCAATGTTAGTTTTAATTTTAAAATGTAGTTTTAAGAACTTATGGGGAAAAAAATATTTAGCTGCTTCAGTTAAATCATGTTTAAGTTTCCAGTTTGAGGTATTTCTACATTTGAAAGCTGTCTGGCACTGAGCAGTGTCAGAGTTTATTGCCAAGGTCAGGATGAGGACAAAGGAAAAGGATGGGGAAGTCATTTGCTGGTTGGAAAGGTGGAAAGAGGAAAAAAAAGACCAGTATGTAATGACTGCATTGGGCCCACTCTCTTACCTTCTGTCTGCCCTTTGACCCACTCATTTATCATCTTTCTTGAATCTTCTGAGGCATGCTGAAAATCCACACTGGCCAATTCAGCACCATATATTTTCTGAGTTGAAGCTAAGAACTCCTGTTAAAAAGAAAGAGCGGGAGTAGGCAGGGTACAGGAGGGGTGGGAGAAAATGTCATGAGTAACTCCTACTACATACAGAATGTTTTTCTAAAATCCTTAAAAGCAACAGAAATTGCCCTAAAAGCCATCAATTTTATTATAACAACAAAAAAAATTCTACACTTTTTGCATTATGGTAAGAACACATAACATTAAATTACTATCTTAACCATTTTTAAGAGAACAGTTCTGCAGCTTTGGTGTTGTATGAAATTGACCGATTCCTTTCTAACTTTTGGTTAACATTTTCATAAATAAGTATATACTGATTGTTCTCGGAAGTGAATTACGGAATTCACTCTTGCTTTAGTAAAACAGCCAGGGTCAATCTGTTCACTGTGAAGACTATATAATGAAATCATATCAATTAATGGGGATATTGTCATGTTTTCATTCTGTATCATTTTCTGAATGTTTATAAAAATAAAAATTGTCTTTGGTGAATTGATTGTGCTGAAAAAAGTCTGCATTGTCTGCCGAGTTTTAGAACATGACTGTAAAGTACTTACAGGGAGGAAATTATAGGTTTTCTCTCCATATAACCTATTAGCAAGTTTCAGAATATAGGGAGCTCCATGCTTGTTGATATCAGCATTCAGACTCTGAAATCTTGAATGAATATCCTCAACTGCATCAAAATGAAGAGTCTAAAATTAAAAACAAATTCTATAACCATTTATTTTGAAACTGATTCCTTGTCATTTGCTTCTATCGAATTAGATTAATGTGTTTTTATTACTAATCATTGATAACTACCAGCCTCATACCTTATTAATTTTTCATTGGAAAACAAATAATAGTGAATCTAAAATTTATAGCTTTGTGAGAAATAACAACATTAGGAGCTGTTTTAATATCAATTTTTGTTATAATTATAGTTCCACAAATAGGAGTGGTTAATAAGCTAAGTATTTACACATGTCTGCTTTTTTCCTGAGAAAATCATAAATGTATGTTTATATGTAAATTCTGCATCAAATATAGTTTTAATGAAAGTTCTCAGAAATAAACAGTAAAAATAAGAATCATCACCTATGCAGGACCACAACGATATTACAGATTGAGAGTTTGTTGTTCTTTTTTAATTTATACTAGCAGCATCGGTAACTCATTTAAAAATAACATCTATAAACTTAATATTCAGCAAAAATATAATTCCCATGTTACAAATCAAGTGTCCCTTTATGGTTTTTATGAGGCCTGGGTTGGTTCCTTGTTTTAACATGCAAAGAACAAACCTACACAATGTACAAAGTTCAGTTACTTACCAAGATACGGAATGTTTGCATAGTTGCTATGATCGATCTGTTTTAATGGAAATGTGGGGTAACCCTTAAAACTATTCTTTGCAGAGGTAATAAAGTCCCTGGAAAAACCTCAAAATAGAAGCTAACATTGCCTTGCAATAAGCAATAAACAGTTAGTACCCTGGGTTAAAATAAAAAGTGGATTTTGGAAAACTTTAAAATACTTTTATACCTGCAGTGATAAACATGGTTGATTTTTCATAAAACACAGTAATAGAAACATTACAGCTGGAACAGGTCGATAAACTTGAATCCAGGGATGGACCTTCCCTAGTTACAGGCACCATACAATTTGTGATGGGTATGTTAGAAAGACCTTCACTTTTGGGACTCATTTCCCCTAGTTTCAAAGAAAGCCAGAGTTCCCCTCTTAGAATTAAAGAACACATAGCACAGAAGTGCCTTCCTCACCCATTAAGGTCTGGTGGAAGGCTAGGTGTTATTGCTTCTTCTCCTTGAGAGGACAGTGACCTGCCACAGCACCCAGGGCTCGGCCCTGTCTCTGCAGCTGCCACACCTCACCTCTGTCCTCTCCTTGCAGGGCCCTCCTGCTCACACAGGCACTTGTTGCCAGGCACAGGGCTAGGTCTCAGGAGTGCAGAGGCACGCGGTCACCTGTTCCCTCAAAAACGCAACACCGCCAACTTCTCCACTGTGATGTGTGTCCTATGTGTCATTTTGTGCTTAAAAGTAACATAACATTAAGAGGCATTATTTGTGTAGTGGGTTACGTGCAAAGCAGAAAAACCTAAGAAACAGAAAAATCTTAGTTCAGGAGGAGATGCTGGCAAAGATTTGCCCACTGGAATAGAAGCATCACAGTACAGGAGTTCTTATAGCTTTCTTCTCTGCTGTATCATCAGCCAAACAAAAAACAGTGCCTGGCACACAGTATATGTTCAGTAGAAACTTTATTGTGAATGAAAGCCTGTATAAACATGAGTTGTTCTTGAGGCTTTCCTGAAAGTAAGGCCTCATAACATATGGTTGTGGAACACAGAATACAATTTTTAAAATACACTGTAAGTGTGTTGATTGGGTAGGAGGGGGAGGGGAGTATAAGGGGACTAAATGGTAATAGAAAAAATAAAATAAAAAATCGTAAAAATAATAAAATATAATACACTGTAAGAGCCTAAGAGCACAGCTTTTTAGTCTAGACTTGCAGGGCAACCAAACTGTTTCTGTTTTTTTCTACTGACCTTGGACATCTGTGCCGCAGTAGTGCCTCTGGTCCCCAGAAAGATCATGGCCAGAGCTGATGAAATGCTTATGGGAGAGATGAAGATGTTTTCAGTAGGATTGTCCTCATTCAGGGTGTGGAAAAGGTCCACTGCAAACTTGGTGTTTGCCATGCTCAGCTGCTCCATGGTGAAGGCTACAACACAGAACAGAAGCTCAAGCACACCAGCAAATTAGGTAATGGCATGTCTCCATGTCTTCCTCACCCTGAAACACCCTAGAACTTGTCCTTTCCTTTTCCCTCTCGTCCTCCCTCCCTCCCTCCCTCCCTTCCTTCTTTATTAAGGAGGGAAACAACACTGTCTCAGGAGCACAAATGTGCTAACTAGGGATAACTGGCCAAGAATCCATCAGCGACCTAGGTTCAGGAGCCAGGGAGTCCTAAAGGGCTAAAATCAAAATCAACCATGTTTATCACTACAGATATAAAAGTATTTTAAGGTTTTCCAAAATTCACTTTTTATTTTAACCCAGGGTACTAATTGTTAGTTGCTTCTTGCAATGCAATGTTAGCTTCCATTTTGAAGGTTTATTACCTTTGGGAGCACACACATTTTCCACCCTTTACCTGAAATACGAATGTTTCTTTTAGAAAGTCAGAGCTACCGCCTACGCATTAAAGCAACTTTCAGCAGAGTGACATAATTATCCTCATTTTCAAGACTTCAGTTGCTAATGTTTAGAGAGGTTAAGTGTCTTATAGCTGGTACACGATATCAGAGTGTGAAAACCCAACACAGGCCCCAGAGTCAGATGGTACAGGCCACCAGCGAAAAGGTGACTAGCATCCTCTATGACACTCCCTTCTGGTGGGGGTGACCGGGGGCCTTCCACCTCAGCTCACCTGCCCGCTTACCAATCGTGACTTCTCTCAGAGGCTTAGTTTTCCCACATACAAGCAATGAAGAATAATGGTTTTGGTAGCTGCGGCGTTTGCAATACACTGAATTATTACTGTTGTTGTTGGAAAGTAATCTCTAGGGTCACATCGGCTTCCTCTCTCTCCCTTCCTCGTCCCTCCCTTTGCAGAACGGGAAGCGGTTCCGCCCCGGGATTGCCGAGAACCGTGACGGACAGCATAGGGAGGAAGGGAGTCTCGGAACTAAGAAAATACTCCGATCTCAGGCTTCGGCTCTGTCTTCCAGCCATCATGCCCCAACTTCCGTCCCTCACAGACCAGCCTGCCCTCGCTCCCAGGTGGCGGTGCTGGGGATCCACAGTCGCCCCCGGGACAGGGCGTATAGCGGCGGCTGCACCACCTCGCACGCAGGGTGGGGCAGGGGTGAGGGTGGAGGCCCGCGGAGTAGTCCCGGTGAACAGGCAGGGGCCGCGGTAATCCTGAGCCACAGAGGGCCAGGGCCGTCCTTCATGGGCCTCAGGCCTGGTCTTACCTGCTGCTCGCTGTCTGGGCGGCGCTCAGGATCCGGGAGTAACTGAAGCGCCGGCAGCGCTTTTATACGGTTGCAGAAGTGCGGCGCTGCTGCTCTGGCAGGGGAAGGGCGGGCACCGCGTTGGCTCTTCCCCCTAGATGACTTCCTAGGAGTCTGGGCATTACTTTGTAGAAACTTAGGTGAGTGTGGACTCTGTGCAGTACCCTACTCAGAGGATCAGGACCTTTTTGAGTCTAGGCAAACTCAGATCTCTGGCAAGGGGCCTGATAGCCTCTGGCCTCTGTCTTGCCTAGGTGTGAATGACTGAGATGATATAACATGTCTCTCTTAGAGGGCAAACCAGCCCTTTCTGAATCTGATCTATATACTCCAAAATCTGGTGCAGGGCAGGTGGGGGTGGTGCCTGGAGGGACCTCCAGGATAAGATGAAACAAAATCAGTTTCGTCAACCAATGGTCATTAGCCTCAATTCAGTTACCAGAGAAATCCCCAGTTTGGGGTGTGGTAACACAAGAAACTTTAATATAGCACCGCTGAGAGAACAGCAGGGCGGTGGAACAGCTGCGTTACAGCTCAGTTATAAAGCAGCATGGCCGCAAGGTGGCGCTCTCCGATTGCCCACTCTGCTCTGCTCTGCTTCACCGGCGGCTGCATTGCTAGTCTTCCTGTTTCTCTGGGAAAGGCAACCTTAGTTGGAAAGGAAAAGTGTGCTCCCAGGCCTAGAAAAAAAGCTGACTTACGCAGAGATAAGTCCCCACCCCTCACCCAAAGAAGGACTCCAAATTCTCAGTTTAATTGGCCCAAAAATCACTGTCTTGATTGGTCAGAATGGAGCTGCTCTGATTGGTTGGTGACGATGTTGATAGGAAATACGGTTACACAGCTCTAATTGTATGGGGAAGATCTTAGTCCTATCGGTTGAAAAACTATTCCAGGAACTTCTTTCTAAGAGTTGGCTCAGAGAAGCGGAACACAGTGCAGGCACACAGTTCGGTGTGGGAGGCAGGTAGTTCAGTGCAGGTTTCTCCTTTAAGTGACGTTTTTGTGAGACCCCTGTGCTGTAATGGCTGCAAGCCTCTGTTTTTTAAATTTGAGTCCAGTTAGCCACTAGGAATCCTTCTTGGTAAGTATCTTCTTTCTCAGGTTTCCCAGTTCCAAACAACAATGTTGATGTCAGTATCTTTAGAAACCAAAATAAATTCACCCCCACAACTCTCCTCAGAGTTGGTGGCTACAACACTATTTCTGTGGGGGGTTTGTTTCTCCCTTTAAATGCCTGGTTATGTAATTTCACCAAAATTTATAGTGCTTGAGGGTCTGAAATAATTCTGCATTTATGAAACTTCTTCCCTGTTTTCTCGCAAATCTCAACACAAAACAGCAAGAAAGAAAAATCCTTTTTTATTTTTATTTTTTTAGTATGGACAATATAGTGTGAATGGGTTTGTAGATTTTTATCTTTTTTTACTCTGAGAATTTTTGTAATGAAAAAGGTCAAGGAAGATTTAATAATGAATGATAAAAACACTTTGCACAGTGTTTTTAAGAGAGTTTAATTACTGAGATTTTAGAGTGTTTCATAGTTTATTAAATAAAGAAACCAACATTTATTGAAAGCCACTCATTGCTAAATTCAAGTGGTTTGAGCAAATCTGGTAACCTCTCCACCATTTCTCATAGAACTAGAGAACAATTTACTAACTTCTACAAAGAGGTCAGTGTGAGAAAGTCAAGAATGAGAGGCTGCACTGAGAAGTTGTTAAAATTAAAATCTGAGACACATACAGAAACTACCATTTTGAATTTTGTTTTTTCTCCTGACATTTTGTATTTGTGTTTACCTGGAGTTAGCAATGTGGGTTAAATATAAAATGAAGCCATTTTCTAAATCAATACATACACTGTATAACATTCAAACAAAACTGATCTTTATACATCTATCAATAAATACATTTACTGTCCAAGTTTGAGGCAAAGTAGCTTTTCTGACAAGTAATATTGGAGTGTGCCGCTTGTGGCTTTAAAATATAAATGGGCAGCCCTGGCCAGGTGGCTAAATTGGTTGGAGTGTCATCCGTGCACAAAAAGCTGTGGGCTCAATACTGATCAGGGCACCCACTTAAGTGGCAGTTTCCATCCCCAGTGGAGGTGTGTGTGGGAGGCAAGCAGTCAATGTGTTTCTCTCTCTCCGCCCCCACTCTCTCTCTCTCTCCCTCTCACTCCCCACCCCTTCCCCTCTCTCTCTCTTGCTCTCTCACTCTCCCCCCTTTTGTCTCTAAAAAACTCAACATGTCCTCAGATAAGAATTTAAAAATAAAAATGAATAAGTAAATGACCACAATCAAAGGTCAGAGATACTTACACACTCATGATGGCACAGCGGTCTGGTACAATGTTTGGTGTATCTACTAAACTTGAGCACACGCATACCCAAGCTACCATCCAGGAATTTCACACCTGGGGAGATTTTTTTCAACAAAAATGTGTGTGCACATGTGCACCTGGTGACATGTACAAGAATAGCAACATGATTTGAATTATACCCACATTAGAAACTACATAAATGCCCATCAGCAGAAGAACAGATAAATAAAACAATAATATACAATAAGAGGAATGAACAAACAACAGCGATACAGAACAATATGGCTGAATCTCATAAATACACTGTTTAATAAAAGAACACAGGCACAAAAGAACTGCGTGTTTCTGGTTATAGAAAGTTCAAAAACAGGCAGAACTACTCCAGGGTGTTTGAGGTCAAGGGGATTGTATTGGCCGTATTTCCTTATTTTCTGTATTCTCGATGTTGGAGAGACTGCTTCTTCCAGCACTAATTCCTTGAGGTAGCAAATGACTCCCTGAGCCCCTGTGAGTGTACCTTTGATGTAAATTCAGTGACCACACTCTCAAATACTTACTTTATCAAACTCTTACATGCCAAGCCAATATTCCCCATGTTCTAAACTACCTCAGAACCAGGTACCAGACAGGAGACCACTTGTATAGTACAGCACACAAAAATTACTTAACCTATCTAGTCTAAACTTGGTGTCCGTACCCTGCCTTGCCCATTCCTTCCTGCATGAATCCCTGTAAAAACTCTGGGCCATGCTCTTCCTTCTTCCCTTCTTGCCCCCTGGCTGCTCTGGGTGCTTCCCAGGTCCTATGTGGTGTGGTGTCAAATGCCTCCTATTTTTAAGCATCTATGAATTTAAATTCTTTTGTGACAATCATTTCCATGTCAGATGTCTTACTATACCTGATTAGAACAAATCCCGGGTCCATTTTTAACACAGGAGTTGTGAGTGGGAGCAGCAATAGGAGCAACTTCTGGGGTACTGATAACGTGCCATTTCTTCACATGCGTAGTTACGCAAGCGTATTAATTTTGTGATAATGCATTGAGTTGCATACATAATTTATGTACTTTTCTGTAATTTTTAAATAGTAGCAACAAAAGAGTGTTAAACATTAGTGATTATTTTATTTCCTGTCTCTCCTCCTTCCACACACACCCAATGAGATTAATAAGCTTGAAGGTAGTTGGGGCTCTTCATAATATCTAGCATACCTACCACCCAACTGTGCTCAGTTGTTTGTGCGCAAATTCTTTCCCATCAACTCTCACATCAATCACTAGTTCAAGGTGCAGAATAAACAAGATGCAGCATTAGCCCTGCCTGGTGTGGCTCAGTGGATTGAGTGCCAGCCTGCGAACCAAAGAGTTGCTGGTTTGATTCCCAGTCAGGGCACATGCCTGGGTTGCAGGACAGGTCCCCAGGATGGGGCACACAAGAGGCAACCACACATTGGTGTTTCTCTCCCTCTCTCCCTCCCTTCCTCTCTCTAAAAATAAATAAATAAAGTCTTTTTAAAAAGTGCATCTGACTTACTTAAAAAAAGAAGATGCAGTATTGATTTGTCTAAGATCCACAGCTAAATTTATAAAACCCATGATAAAGAGAAAATACCAGGCAGGAACCAATAGGTGTTTGGGAACTAATTGTCTGTGTTATTGGCCTGCAGGTTAATTGTATTGTGGTTAGAGAACATGGTTGCTATATTATTCAGTGTTCAGACATGCTGTGAGACTTGATTAATGGCTCCAAATGTAGTCAAGTTTTGTAAATACTTTGTGTGCACCAGAAGAAAAGATGTTGTCAACCTAATAATGGCAACATTCTATGTGTGGCCACTATGGTAAGTGCACTAATAATTTTATTCAGCTCTATACTTAGATTTAATATACATGTTTAGCAAGGTAATGACTAAATATCAGTTTTTCTATTGACTACCAGCAAACAGAAATTGAAATTTTAAAAAAGACACCACTTGAAATAGGATAAAAAATCAAGTAATGGAAATATAGAGGGGTCTGGTACAAATAATACCCCTTTTTTATTACAAAATCTTTTATTACAAAATCATAAGCATGCAATTCTATAACAAAAATATCACACTCACGTACCATATGATATTTTAGGTGAAATGTTCAAATTGCTGTCCATCTCGTGTGAGACATTCACGTTACCCTACCAACAGCACTCGAGCCTTA